AAAAAAAGATAAAATAAAAAAAATGGGAACATGTTGTTCGTGTCATACGGGTGGTAGGTTCGTAAGTAATTACCTCGAAGATGAAAGACGAATCGGAGAACACGAAGATGGTGATGGAATTGTACTTAGAGGTGATGCGGGTGCACGAATCCGACTGCAGGGCTCGTCTAAATACGCATCGATGTTCAGCATGCAAGGCAAAAAGGGGATCAACCAAGATGCAATGACTGTTTGGGAGGTACATTTTAACATATAGAATAAATAAATGTCTGATTTTCCTTTTCTTGATTCATTTTGTTTTTTTTTTTTCTTCCTTATTTGATGTATCGCTTTCCATTCTGGTTGTGATTTTAGCCTCCAAACACAATCGACACTATAAGAAAATGATGAAATAGAAATCCAACGGAAATATATTCCAACGGAAGTTCTACATCAATTTCATTGGAACATATTACATTTGAACGAATTTTTTTATTGGAATTCCGTTTGATTTTGACAATTCCAATGGTTGAAATATGAGTTTGAAATCATAAAATTCCAACTAAAATTCAAATGGAGAACTAATTCCAATGGAATATTATTCGTTAGTATCATTCAAACAGAAACTATACCGCTGAAACATCCATCGAAATTTTCACTGAAATATATTACCGTTCGATTTTCCGCTGAAATAGCCATTTTTTTTTTATTTGTAGTGTGGAAATTACAATTTTTCGCATTTCAAAATGGTTGTATATTTCGCAGAGCTTTTCAGGGGACAAAGACATGTTCCTATGTGGCGTGTTCGACGGGCACGGGCCCTCGGGCCACAAAGTGGCCCGATACATTCGAGACTTACTACCGACAAAAATATCAAAGGTGTACCGGCAGCCGTGCGTAGAATGCAAGGTCACAGAAATCCGAGAATGCCGAGAAAATCCAGAATCTAAAAACCCGTTATTCCTTTCGTGGAAAGCGCGACTAACCAAGTGCTTTCACGAAATGGATGAGCAGCTTGAGGGAGAAGCCTCGATCGAGAGCTACTGCAGTGGCACGACTTCCGTTTGTGTTCTTCGAAAGGTAGATAGATACTTTCTATAAATAGAAACTAAACATACATTTTTTTGGACAGAATCTCTCTGTTTGTTAATTTCTTTACTTTCTTTTTTTTCTTTTTTTTTTTT